CAAAAATCCACAACTGGGAACAGTGCTGGGGCAGGCAAACCTAAACTGGAACTGATGAATTGCTGGGGCTCATTGTGGACACATCTGAGAGTTAAAAACGCCAGGGGGATGTGCGGTCTTAGCGAGGCTTTCATGCTTTTGTGACTTTTACCTCCAGGAGCCCTACCAGGATCTCACAGTGAAGATTAGAGAAAAATTTCCTCTGGCCAGGGCTGCGGAGGGAGGTGGAAGAGTAGGTATTTTGAAATACACCAGAGCACTCTTTTTCTTCTTCTTAAATATTCACCCGAGGATATTTTCTCCATTGATTTCTATCTAGAGAGTGGAAGGGAGGGAGGAGGGGGAGAGAAACATGGACAGGAGAGAGAGACACATTGGTTGGTTGCCTTCGGCAAGCGCCCCTCCTGGGGCTGGGGAATCTGCAACTGAGGCACAAGGTGCGTGACCTTGACCAGGAATGGAACCCTCCACCTGACCCTTTGCTGATGCTCTAACCACTGAGAAAGAAAAACCAGCCAGGGCTTCTTTTTTTAATGTTTATTGTTAAAAATATATTTTTATTGATTTCAGAGAGGAAGGAAGAGGGAGAGAGAGAGAGAGAGAGAACAATGATGAGAGAGAATTATCCATCAGCTGCCTCCTGCATGCCCCACACTGAGGATTGAGCCGACAACCTGGGCATGCGCTCTGATTGGGAATCAAACTGCGACCTCCTCGTTCGTAGGCTGATGTTCAACCACTGAGCCACCCTGGCTGGTTGGGCTTCTTTTTTTTTAAAGTATATTTTTTATTGATTTTACAGAGAGAGGAACGGAGAGGGGGAGAGAGAGAGAGAAACATTGATGTGAGAGAGCAACATCCATCGGGTGCCTTCTGTACATACCCCCACCAGGGACCGAACCCACAACCCAGGTGTGCGCCCTGACCAGGAATCAAACCGGCAAGCTTTCGATGCTCAGGACCACGCTCAACCAACTGAGCCACACCAGCCGGGCCACTCTTCTTCTTAACAAGGCCCACCTTCAAGAAGACAATCGATTACCTCAGAGCCTGACCTATTGAGGTTTTATCAGAGTCTGACAGACCTGGGAGAAGGGATATACCCTCCTCCAGCCCCCTCTGGCCATCCTGTCCCACCTTAGGAAGGGGAACTGAGAAGCTCTGTGAAGTTCACGGTGCAGAGGCACATGCTGACTAGAGACAGAGACCTAATCCTAGGACTATGGAATGCTCCCTCTCCCCTCACACCACCTTACCAACGGCCTAGTAACCGCACGTCCTTTTACGCAGTTTATCATCTCTGGCTTTCAACAAAGAAGTACAAGGCATACCGAAAGCAAAGAAACAAACAACAACAAATAACAAACAGCAACACCACCAACAAAAAAACAGTTTGCAGAGACGGAGCAAGCATCAGAACCAGAATCAGATATGGCAGGGTTACTGGAATTATCAGATCAGCAATTTAAATACTCTGATTATGCTAAGGGCTCTCATGGAAGAAGTAGATAACATGTAAGAACATGGCCACAGTTGGCCACCAGGGAGGATGCAAAAGAAGGTTTCTAGCTGGGAAGCCAGATGCGCTAGAAAGCTTTGGGGATTTTATTTCTAAAAGGATGAAGCAAG